TTAATCAATTCGATGATGCTGAAATTTGGAGAGTTTTAGAGATTTCAAATTTAAAGTCACATGTGTCAAGTTTAGAGGGCGGTCTTTTACATGAGATTCTTGAAGGAGGAGAAAACCTAAGGTAATATTGGGCTTTTTTTCTTTTTCTATTCTTATAATACTTTTGTTCACCTCTTTAAGGTTGAAGGATCACTTTAGTTAAAGAATTTTTTTTAAATTTTTTTCATTACTATTACTACCCGTTTTTAACTTTTCAACTCTAAAACACAAATCTTTATAAACAAGGCAAAAAATTATAATATATAAAGAATTATAAATTTTTTTCTAGCCCCGGCTATCAACCCCTGCTAAATATAGTTTTGCCAGGTTTGAAAGAATTTTTAGCCAGGGACAGGGCCGGGGCCCTTGTCACTAACTACTTGAGGCTGCTTCACAAACAAACAATTTAAGTGTAGCACTACCATATTGATTGAGGTGAGAATTGAGTTTAAAACTTCTTGAAATTCTGCCACCATTTCCACCATTGTCGCATAATCATAACTAATATTAACATAACTTTTATTTTTCTACAATGTACATTTAATAGGTAGTCTTTATTTTTATTTGGTTTTTTGTTTGTTTAGTTTATTTGTTTAGTTAATAGTGTTTTCAATAATAAACAAATAGTTAATTTTTGTCATTTCAAAGATTAATTATTTTGTTTTTACAATTACAAAGATTAATTAATTTGTTTATATTTATAAATATTTTTAAATGCTCTGAAAAAAGTAATTATACTCTTAAAAGAATAATAATAAAAGTAAAAATACTAAAGTTAATAAAATTAAATTTTATGTTAAACTTTGGTCTTTAATTATTTTATAGAAAATTTCTTATATATCCTAATATAATAATGTTTTTTATTATTATTGTATATTAGTAAAAAAAAATTGTTTTATAAATTTTAAGGTTTTAATTTATGTTGATAACATAATTAAGATTATTATTTCTTTTTATTGTTTATTTGTTTATCATATGTTATCATATGTTTTGTTTGTTCATTTTGTAAATAATTTTTTTATTGTATTTTGTAATTTTGTTCGTAATTTAGAGTGACACTTGCAATGTTTTGAAATATTATTTATTATCAATTCTTGTAATTCTGATTGAAATTTTTTTTTTTTTTTTGTATTCTGAAGTACATATGGTACTTCAATCCCACATCCAAGTTTTCAAAGTATCAATGTTTTTTGAGTTATTAAGGATGAAAATGGAAATGATAGGATAAGATTTTCACATACTTTGTTTGTTTCCATAAAAAAAAATTGTATGATGTGATGAATCAAGATAATTTTTTTTTTTTTTTTTTTTAAATTTGCATTCACTCCACAAATTGTTAACATTTAACATAACACTGCTGAACTATATAACTATTAGACAAGAATACATTTAAATTAATGAAAAACTAGAAAAGTCATAAAAATGATGAAATAAGAATGGACTAGAGTGGACTAATAATAATCTATGAAGTAAATCAATATTTGCACAATCTCAAATTTATTACATAACTATGTTTTCCAGACTAATTTATAAAATATCTGGTAGTAATGTATGTATATATATATATATATATATATATATATATATATATATATATATTTTTTTTAATATTTATTTGCATTCACTCCCAACAAGGCTGCAAGCAACCACTATTAAGTTGGGAGTTACTAGGAAAAAAAAGAACAGAGTTATAGAGCAAGGAAACGGTTGACAGAAGACTTGAAAAGTTGAAGGTTGTATGAGTCAGGAAAACATGAAGATGGGAGAGAGTTCCAAAGGATTGAAGTGCGGGGAAAAAAACTAGATGAATAAAAGTTTTTAGAGCATGCAGGGACAGATACAGTAAACGAATGAGACTTAGCTGAATGACGAGTAAAACGAGAATGAATTTTAGTTGATGGAACTAGAGATGATAACTCCTTTGAGCAGTGACCATGATAGTATTTGTAGAAAAGAGAAAGAGATGCAACTTTACGACGATGGGAAAGAGGTTCAAGCTTAGCAGATAGTCCAGGTCCAATAACATTTACAATGCGTTTTTGGACCTTGTCAAGAAGAGAGAGTGAATCGTTAGAAGAACCAGCCCAAATATGACAACAGTATTCCATACAGGGACGAATAAGAGATTTGTAGAGGTAGAGAATGGAATCAGAAGTAAGGAAATGGCGAGCACGATAAAGAGAAGCAACCTTAGCAGAAGCTAATTTAGCAATCGATTGTATATATGGTTTCCATGAAAGGTCAGTAGTAAGCGATAATCCAAGAAGACGTAAAAAGGAGGGCTCAGTAAGAGGATTGCCATTCATTAATATAGGAATGTTGACCATATTACGGTAGTTGTTTGCAGTAAGCAATTGGGTTTTGTTAGAGTTGAAATTCACAAGCCACAGTGAACCCCAATCTATTACTGAAGTGAGATCAGATTCAAGATCAGCTGCTTGTTCTAGGCGATCGAAAAGAGAAGACTTTTTGTCAAGACAGGAGTATAAAGTTGAGTCATCAGCAAAAAGAGCTACTTTAGATGAAAGGTTGTCAGGAAGATCGTTTATGTAGATAAGAAACAAAACAGGGCCCAGGATGGAACCTTGGGGAACCCCAGAAGTTACTGGAAATAAAGAAGAGTTGGCCTTCAAGGATGACTTTAATAAACCGGTTAGAAAGAAATGATTTGATAATCTCAAAAACTTTCCCAGAAACACCATATGAAGCAAGCTTATGGAGAAGACCAGCATGCCAAACTTTGTCGAAAGCTTTAGATATGTCAAGAGCAATAGCCCTAGCCTCACCGCCTCCATCTAATACACAATAAAATCTTTCAGTTACAGCAGTTAGCAAGTCGGCTGTAGAGCTAGAGGATCGAAAACCATATTGATTGTCTGACAGTAGTTTATTTGACTCAAGATGAGATGTGAGGAATTTGTTGATCAAAGACTCAAAGAGCTTGCTAATAACAGAAATAATTGGAGGGGTAAGAATTTTTTCCAGAGTTTTTGAAGATTGGAACCACAGATGCCATTTTCCAACAGCAGGAAAACAAGACTCAGTCCAACACTTGTTAAATAGTTTAGGGAGAATTGAAGAAAGTTCTGGAGAACAATTCTGCAAGACTGTGACAGGAATGTTGTCTGGACCACAAGCTGTAGACGAGTTTAATTGAGATATGACTTTAGCAACAGAAGCCGGAGTGATTTGAATGTCTAACAATGGGTCAACCTGTTTGACTGGAATGGAAGGAAGAGAATATCCATAAGATTCAAGAGTGGAATTAGAAGAAAAGTTCTTTGCAAATAGTTCTGCCTTATCCTTGGGAGAGGTAATAAGATCAGTCCCATGAATGAGAGATGGAATGTTAGATCTACCCTTGTTAATAAAGCTGTCTTTAAAGCCTAACTTCTGCGATAAGATGCGAGATTTAGTGAACTGAGAATAATGGAGTTTAGCATCAGAAAGCACCTTTTTATATTGATTTCTTGCAATAATAAATAGCCGTTTGTTCTGAAGAGAGTTGTTTTTTTGAAAAAGATGAAAAAAAAGATTACGATTGGATATAGCAGCCGCACAAGAAGGAGGAAACCATGGAGTAGAATGAGGCTTGACTTGAAACCAACACGAAGGAATAAAAGCTTCCATTCCAGCCTGAATCCAGGAGGTTACGTAGGAGGCGATCAGTGGTGTTAGAGCCAAGCAGGATCAGTGGTGTTAGAGCCAAGCCATTCAGTGTGATGGGCATTAAAATCACCAACAACAACAATATTGGCAGAGGGGTAAAGAGAGAGGGCATGGTCAATTTGATCTAAAAGAGCCCAATCATGGGAAGAAGGAGAACGATAAAGAACAAAGAGAAAGGTGATAGAGTGAAGAGGTGTTAGGCGAAAGCACATAAAAGAATGGTCAAAGGATTCGAACCTGATTTCATGACATATAGGGGAATTAATGCGTATGTATACCCCTAAACCTAGCATGTGACTATTGGAGTCTTTACAAATCAAAGGATAGTACCCATCAACACTGACATCTGAAGAAGGAATTGCAGAATTTATATTTGTTTCGCTGAGTGCAAGCAAGTCTGATGAATTTTGCAGGAGGTAAGACTCAACTGATGGAAAGTTGCTTCGTAGACCGCAAATATTTGTAAAAGATATATTAAAACATTTAGGTGGTGGGGATGGTTTTTTAGGTTTTAAAGTTTTGGTTACTTTGGTCATGATTTGGGTTTAATGAGAACTTAACTCATTCATAGATAGAGCTCAGTCTCCTAATCAATGAGCTATGCAGTTGTCTCAGTCCTGTTAATTAACCCTAAGCCGTGACATAGGATTTCCTTATGTGGCCTTGACAATGCACACCAAAAGTATTAACAGGGACACCATCTATGCGCAACATGGCACTGTTAATACTCTGATATTTTGCAGCTGTTGATGGAATCAGCCTCTCTGAGAGCTACCACAGAGTTCGGGAAACTTTACTACCAGCCGGCCTCAGAACCATTAAACTGAGTTTTAGAGCTGTACCCTCATATGGAGATGACAGGAAAAGTTGCATAGCCATTATCAAGGAGGCATAAGCAAAATTCTATGAGTAGAGTCAAGGAGATCCAGCATTCATCTTCCTAGGCAGGAAACAATATAACACAGGTTACATCAACGCCAGCCTAATAGATGAAGAAGGGGTTTGAGGCTGGTTAGCAGAATTTTTCTGGTTACCCCTTTGTCTTTGCATAGGAGGCTTTTGCATAGGAGGCCTTCTACAAGACAGTAGCTGGATGCAGTTAACATCTGCCCAAGATGAGTATTTTTATCGAGACACCATCTCTAGCCTTTACTTAACCAAGAGCCCCAAGGCAGGGGAATTTATAGTCAGAGTTTATTTCTCCTAGCCTTTACCTAAGAAAAGCACACTCTGCAAGGCAGCAGGGCTTGTGGCAGGTGGTACTGGGTTACGTGATACCAGTAGCAAGATTGATCTTGATTATCCTGACCTGACCTGGAGTAGTTAAAAGGAGTTACTTTCCGCAACAGTACTTTGAGAAAACCAGACATGACATTTTGGAAGTGCATTAGGAAAAACACTGCATTAGGAAAAACACTGAGTCTAAATTGAGTGTAGGTTTTGTAGTTGGAGTAGTTAGTTACTGAGCTCACGCTGCATTAGAGTATAAACAGAACACAAACAAACATAAATCAACCTTCGGGTGAGTCAACACTGCGCCAGAGGTTCAGAAAGAACACAAACATACATAAAAAACATAAAGGAACTTACAGGTGAGCGAACACTGCACCAGAGGTTCAAACAGAACACAAACATACATAAAAATAACATAAACATAAAGTAACTTACGAGTGAGCGAACACCGCACCAGAGGTTCAATTTAATCTGGTTTAATCAAAAGACCTAATAACTAAATCTTTTAAATTTTTTTGCTGCTCCTTTATTTACTTTTTGTTTAATTTTTTTTTTTGTCAGCAACCATTTACAATTCAAGGTGATTTCCAACATAAAATAATAAATAAAAATTTCATCATTATAAAAATATTAAATAAAAGTTTCATCGTATCTTCTTATCATAGTTATAAGACGGAGAACTTAAAATCAAGTAAGATAGAGAACTTAAAATCAAGTAAGATGGAGAACTTAAAATCAAGTAAGATGAAGAACTTAAAGAAGTAAAATTCTTATCATCAGTAACATTTGATAATAAAAAAGTGTATTGTTAGAAAAATTTCAAGTAAAAAATTTTAATTGGCAATAAGTTTAATTATGTTCTTTTTGTATTTTTGAGTGGTATTGGCTCCTCTAAATTTATGGCTCAGGCTTATAAAATGGTTCCATAGTATAAGAAATATAGAATTTTATAAGTTTTGGTATATGGAAAGGTTTAACAAATCTTCCTGTAGAATCGGTTTGATGTTTTAGGAAAAATATTTTCAGAAACCTTTGGAATTTTTTTAAACCAATGTTGAAATATAAATTGACTTTAAATATATTTATTTTATAAATATTAAGAGTCATCATGTTTCTTAGAAGAGGTTGTTTTTTTTTGAAGTGATTTTGAAAATAAATAATTCTTGCTTCATGATTCTGTTGCTTGAGGAAACATTCGAGTTTAGATTTGTTTGTACTACCTAAAACAATATTGTCATAAGTTAAGTAACTGTTGATGAATGAAAAATATAGTTAAGTTAGTGTAGATTTGTTTAAGATTTGACAGGTTTTATATAAAATAACAATATTTCTCGACATTTTATTGCGAATATATAATAATATGATCTCTCCATGATAATTTTTTATCTATTAAAACACCAAGTAGTTTTTTTTGAATGTGCCCTCAATTTTGATGTTATTTGTATATATATAGTATTAGTAAGGATGGAGGAATATATTAAAACTTTTGTTTAAAATGAAATAAGGAAAACTTAGTTTGATCAGTGTTTAAAGATATGTTCCAGTTCTTTGTTTGTTACTTGAAATAAAGGGATAATGTCACTGTGAGAATACAATAAAGTTGTGTCTTCTGCAAGCATGATGCTCTATATAGATCATTGACATAGATTAAAAACAGTAGAAGACCTAAGATAGAACCTTGTGGAACCCATAATATTTTAAGTTTTTTTTTCAAAAACTGTCATTTAGAGATATATACTGTTCTCAATCAGTTAAGTAATTAGTAAACTGGTATTCATGGCATATTCCATAATATTTTAGTTTTTCTTGTAAAATCTATGGTTAATATAATTTAATTGTTTATCGTTAATATAAACAATTAACGATGTCATGTTTACGCTTAAGGATTTTTGAAAGGCCAACTAGACTCGTAACTAGACTCATCACCTGTTTTAAAAATGGGTGTAATAATTACAACTTTCAGTTTCCCTGGAAAAGCACCTGTTTTGGTAAATTTGTTGAAAATGTCTAATAAAATTTTTATATATGTATATATATGTGTATATATATATATATATATATATATATATATATATATATATATATATATATATATATATATATATATATATATTAAAAGATTTACTAAATAAAAAATGATAGAAGTTTACTGACAAATATAAGTTTACTGATTTCAAGGTCCTTTTATCCTGGAAGCACCAACAGCATTATGCAATTTAATTCACTACTCAATGTCAGAAAGAACACTGCAGTAATCATTTTGGTTATTGAGCATTATCCCACTATGGTCCTACACTTTGGAATATACTTCCAAATGTCATTTTCCAATTGTCCGTGGCAATAAAAACACAACTATTTATAAGAAAAAACTAAAATCTTATTTAATAGTAAATGGTGAGCTACTCCACTAGAAAACTCTTAAATATTAAATATTAAAAACTAAAAGATTAAAAAAAATTTACTAAATATTAAAATTTACTATATAATAATTTTTTGCACAGCTGAGCAAGTGTTTTGCAAACTTATCATTTATCCTGTAGCTGTTGGTAAATTTTTTTTTATAGATATTTGTTTTATTTAATTGCAATTTCAATATCTGTTTACTTTGATAAACAAATTAGTTATTTATAATTTATAATCTCTATAATTTGGGGTATCATTTTTAAAAATACTTCACCTGTGACTCAATTACTTCAGCTATGACTTAATTAGTACTGATTTTCTTTATTCTTGAATATCTTATTAGACATAAGTTGCACTAAAGTTAATAATTTTTCTTGAGGAAAATAAGTTTTTCTTATCCATAGCCTTATTTATTTATCATCTTTTATATATATATATATATATATATATATATATATATATATATATATATATATATATATATATATATATATATATATATATATATATATATATATATATATATATATAAAAGATATATATATATATATATATATATATATATATATATATATATATATATATATAAAAATATATAAAATATGTTTTTATATATAGTTAAAATGGTTAAATAATGGGTTTATTAAAGTGCTAAATAAAATAAAATAAAGAAAATTATTTCCAAATAAAAATTTAATTGACTTAATGATTAAAGTTATGTTATGAATGAATGGTTCTATATAAAATAATATGATTGTTCTTAAAGCATAATTTTTTAATCATTTTAGTGTCGGTCAACGTCAGTTGGTGTGTCTTGCTCGTGCAGTGCTTAGAAAAAGTAAGATTCTTGTTCTTGATGAAGCTACATCTTCTGTGGATCTTGAGACAGATGCATTCATTCAAGAAGTTATTCGAAAAGAGTTCAAGTCTAGTACAGTATTGTGCATTGCTCATCGATTAAACACAATTCTGGATTATGACAAGTATATATTTATTATTATTTAATATTTTATATTACCATGAATATGTTATTATTGATTTTTTAAAAAAAAGTTCTACATCCATGTTATCACATTTTTGTGGTTTTAAAAAATTTTTTTTTTATCTAAGTTGTTGTTGATTTAAAAAAATGTTTTGCATTCATTTTATCACATTAGTGTGATTTAAAAAAATAAGTTTTTATCTTTATTATTGTTGATTAAAAAAAAATTCTACATCCATGTTATCATATTTGTGTGGTTTTTTTGTTGTTGTTGTTGTTTATATTCAGATATAAATTGTTATAATTTATATCTGAATAGTCCTAACTATTATCACTGATCATTATCACAGCAATGTCATGTTAATTTTTGCTAAAATAACAAAATAAAGTTCACTAATTATGTTAATTATACAACTTTTCAAAATTTGACTTAAGTAACATAATAAAACATTTAAAATGATAAAAATTTTGTTATTGCAATAATAATGATTTAAAAAATATTTCAATAAGTTTTGGTAATTAGTACAATGAATATTTTGCCCTTAGATAAATAACTTGTTACTTGATTTGTACTTTTTGATTAAAGTTTACTTTTGAACTTAGTTGATTTAGCTAATGACTAATAGACTGATAGGCTCTTTTCACCAATGGTTTTCATTTGCCTGGTCGCTTAGTTTATGATTTAAAAAATGAACACCTTACAGAGGTTTAACTAATAATACCATTTCTAAAAGTACACTGTTAGTTTGTTTAAATGAATAAGTTAATATTATTTTTTCTTTTTAGTAATTAGCATTAAATATAAAAATAAAAAACAATATCAATTTATTCATTTTCAATTTTAAAAAACAAGTATTTTTATTTTGCATATTTTTATTTATACACCTATATTTATCACCTTTATTTATACACCTAATATTAATTAATTTTTTTTTTGTATTAAAAATAATATTCATTAGTTGAAATTATATCAAATTTTTTTTTTTTTAAACATCTTTGCTTCCAACAAGGTTGCAAGCAACCACTTATTAGTGTTGGAAGTTACTGGAAGAGAAAAGATGAAGATTGTAGAGCAAGATAACGAACAGACGAATTGAAAGATTACAAATTATATGATTCAGGAAAGCAAGATGAAGAAAGTGAATTCCAAAGAACTGATGTTCAAGGGAAAAAACTTGAGGAATAAGAGTTTTTAGAGCACTTAGAAACAGTCACAGAAACACGGGAATGAATTTTAGTAGATGGAACAAGAGACGCTAGCTCTTTAGAGCAGTACCCATTATAGTATTTGTAAAAAAGAGAAAGAGAAGCAACATTACAACGATGTGACTAAGGTTGAAAGTTGGCAGCAAGAGCAGGTCCACCTATGTTGACAATGCGTTTTTGCACCTTGTCTAAAAGAGAGAGGGCATCATTAGAAGATCCGCCTCAGATAAGGCAACAGTATTCCATACAAGGCCGGATTTGAGATTTGTAGAGATTGAGGATCCAGAGTAAGAAAGTGTCTAGCTCAATAAAGAGAAGCAGCTTTAGCAGATGCTAATTTTGCAACGGATTTGATATAAGGTTTCCAAGAAAGATCAGAAGTAAGAGTTAGTCCTAGAATATGAAGGGAAGATGACTCATCAAGTACATCACCGTTCATAAATATAGGAAGGCCTAAATTATTGCGATAATGGCTGAAAAAAATTGAGTTATATCTGAATTAAAGTTCACCAGCCACTGTGAGCCCATGCTGTAGCAGAAGTGAGATCCTTCTCAAGTTCAAATGCCCGATGCAAGCAATCAGAGAGAGTTGGCTTCTTATCATGACAAGAATAAATGGTAGTATCATCATCGAACAATGCCACCTTAGATGTGAAAATATCTTGAAGATCGTTAATGTAAATTAAAAAGAGTATAGGGCCAAGGATTAAACCTTGAGGAACCCCTGAGGTTACAGAATAAGAAGAAGAGTGCTGTCTATCAAGGACAACTTTTATACTATGATTGGAAAAGAAGGACTCAATAATCTTAAAGATGTCTCCAGATACACCGTAAAAAGAAAGCTTATGGAGAAGACTAGCATGCCAAACTTTATCAAACGCTTTAGAAATGTCAAGAGCGATGGCCTTAACCTCTTCACCTTTATCTAATGCGCGATAAAACCTATCAGTTATTACTGTTAGCAAATCAGCCGTAGAATGAGAAGATCGAAATCCATATTAAATGATTAGAAACTAAGTTATTAGATTCAAGATGAGAGATTAAGTGTTTGTTAATTAAAGATTCAAAAACTTTGCTTATAAGAAGAAGACTAATGGGATAGTAGTTAGACGAATCAGATCGCTCTCCAGAATTTTTAAAAGTAGGGATAACAGATGCTGCTTTCCAGCAGGCTGGAAAACAAGACTCTGATAAGCACTTGTTGAATAGTTTTGAAAGGATAAACGATAGTTCCTGTAGAATAGTCTAAGCAGGACATCACTTTAAATACAGAAGCTGGAGTGGTGCAAATGTCAAGCAATGGATCAACCTGTTTGATGACTATATCAGGTAGAACGCAACTAGTGAAATCAAGAGATGATATTGATGAAAAGTTCTTAGCAAACTATTCAGCTTTGTCTTTAGGTTAGGTGACAAAGTCTGAACCATACAAACAAGGTGGAATTACAGACTTGCCCATATTATTGATTCTATTAAAGATTCTCCAGAAGTCACAATATAAAGCCTAATTTTTGAGATGAAATACGAGATTTCATGATCTGAGAATAGCAGGCTTTAGTGTTAGATAAAACCTTTTTACAATGGTTACTAGCAGTAATAAACAGGTGTCTGTTTTCTAGAGAATTGTTTTGCTAATAGATATGGAAGTAATGGTTTTGATTGGCAATTGCAGCACAATGTTAGGAAAATCATGGAGAAGAGTGAGGCTTGACCTGGAATTGTTGAGAGGGAATAAAAGGTTCCATGCCAGCCTGAATTCACAAAGTTATGTAAGAAGCGCATTTGTCAACAGGAAGACGAAAAATTTCTACCCAAGGGCCATCACGAAGAATATCACGGAAAGAGTCCCAGTCAGCTTTAAGGTAGTTGTAAAATGTGAGATGATAGGGGGAGTCTGATGATAAAGAAGAATGAGATAAGAGTTTTAGAGAGATCAAACTGTGATCAGAACACCTAAGGGTGAATATGGAGAAACTGAGTACTGACTAGGATCAGAAACAAGACACAAGTTGAGTAGAGAAGGTAAATGATTTGGGTTGTCTGGAAAGCGAATAGGAAAGTTGACTATTTGAGTTAAGGATTGAGAAAGGCAAAAGTTATAGGCTATAATGCCTGCAGAGTCACTGACACTAGAGTCAAGCCATTCAGTGTGATGAACATTAAAGTTATCGACAACAACAATATTGGCTGATGGATAAAGAGAGAGGGCTTGGTCAATATGTTCAGAAATAACATCAAGAAGAGTGCAGCTTGAGATGAAGGAGAGTGATATAGAACAAAGAGAAAGGTGATAGAATGAAGTGGTACTAAACGAAAGCACATGAAAGAGTAGTCTGTGGATTCAAACCTAGTTTCCCGACAAATGAATTCTTACGAATGTAAATGTCTAGGCCAAGCATGTAACTATTGAAGTCTTTATGAATTAAAGGAAGATAACCATCAACACTAAGATCACAAGATGAGACAGCTGAACGCAAATTAGTCTCACAAAGAGCAAGTAGGTCTGGTAAACTTTGCAAGAGATAAGACTCAACAGAAGAAAAGTTACCTTGAAGATCACAAATATTAGTGAATGATAGATTTAGCGAACTTGGTGATGACTGTGGTTTTTTGTGTTTTATAGTTTTTGTTACTTTGTTCATTTTTAAATTTGTGAAAGAACTTGACTCGAAACATAGATAGTACTCAGTAAACTATTTAATAGCCGAAGCAATTGTCTCATTACTATTAATAAACCCTAATGCGTAACAAAGGGCTCTGATGTGACCTTGGCAATGCACACCAAAAGTACAAACAGGGACACCATCCATGCGCAACATGGCACTGTTAGTATTTTGATATTTTACAGCTGTTGATGAAATCAGCCTCTCTGAGAGCTACCACAGAGTTTGGGAAACCTGACTACCAGCCGGCCTCAGAACTATAAAAACTGAGTTTTAGAACTGTACCCTCATTAGAGGATAATAGAATGAGTTATTTAGTCATAAAAACAGAGACACAAGCAAAACCATGCATCGGGTCAAAAGATCCAGCATTCAACATCCTAAACTGGAAACAATTTATTAAAAATACATATGCGCCAGCCTAATAGATGATGAAATGAAATGGTGCGAGGCTGGTCAACAGATAGAATTTGTTTACTCCTTAAATCTTTGCTTAGGAAGCCTTCTACAAGACAGCAGCCGGATGCATCTAACATCTGCCCAAGATGAGTATTTTTATCGAGACACCATTTCTTGCCTTAACTCAACCAAGAGCCCCAAGGCAGGGGGTGTTTTATGTCCAAGTTGGCATCTCCTAGCCTTTGCCTAAAAAGGCGTATCCTACAAAGCAGCAGGACATGAAGCAGATTGTACTGGGTTACATGTTACCAGTAGCAAGACAAACCTGACCTGACATTTAATATATAAATATTTTTTAAACAAATATATATGTAAAATATATATTTTGCATAAAAAATATAAATATTTTTATACAAAAACTTGAACAGATACCTGTTGCTTAATTTGTAAATATTTGAATAATTCAGAAAAATTAGATAAAGCAAACAAATAATATGTCAAAGTGCATTACTAAACCTAACCAAACCTTACCAGATCTTAATAAACCTTGACCATCAAATGATAACCCTAAATGTAATAATATTAATATACTTTAAAATAAATACCAGCTTAGTTAATAAACTGTTAATTTTATTAATTTTTTATAAATTTTAGAAATTGTGTTGTATAATAAAAAATGTCGTCTTCTTGCTAACAAAATGTTTTGTAATAGTAATTTTTTTACATATATTAAAAATATTAAAAGGTATTTACTTTACTATTAACAATCACAATTTAAATGGGAAAAAAAGAAAGAGAAATTTCTCATCATGATGCATTATTTGCGAAATAAAAATCATATTGGTTTATAAACTTACCAAATCTTGTATTTCCATTATTCATGTCTAACTTTGTAATAAAAATTTGCTACTAATACAAAAAAAAATTGATGTCAGTTATTTGCTGTTGCTTTATTTTTAGCTGTTGCTTTATTTTTAGCTGTAGACTTATAAAAATAAAATAGGTGTTAAAAATATGCAGAAATGTTATCACTAAGAGAAAAAAAATAATTATGAAGAACTTTACCAAAAATCAATGGTGCTGAAACAGTGTTTAAAAAAGCACTTAATTCTTGTGTTTTCAAAACATGCTATCTTGATTTAGACTTAGGAACCATTAATCAAACATTGCATATCTGTTGATGACATCATCTTACTCCACTTGACAGGCTTTTAATTACTACTTTTATATGAAAAGATATGACAGTTTTTTTTTTTTTAATTAGGTTAAAATTTATATTAATTGCAAAAAATTTAAATACTAGAAATTTAATAAAAACTAGAAATAATGAGTTTTAAATGTTTTTAATGTTGTTAGGAAACTGTCAAATAAATTTTAATGTTATTTAGGAAACTGCCAAATGAATTTTAATGTTGTTTAGGAAACTGTCAAATGAATTTTAATGTTGTTTAGGAATATGTCCTAAAAATTTCAGACCAAATGTTTTAATTGATCAGAAGAAATCATGTTTTAAAATTTTGATAAAATATGAAAACTTGCAGAAAATACAAAAATAAGTATAAAATAAAAGAATAAGAACATTTATAATTTTTTAAATATAATCTTCATATTACAGCATAAACGTTTCAATGAGGATCAGCATATAATTTGCCTATTAATTTTAAGTTCAATTTATTTTTTATTGTTAACGTCAGCTTGTAGCAAAACGTAAATTGCATTTTTTGAAATGTAATAAATGTATAAAAATGTATTCCTTTAACATTTTATCTACACCAATTATAATTTTTCTCAGGTGAGTTGATAGGATCTTCTACGAATCTTTTGACAGAGCCCTGAAAAAGCCCTTTAAAATCAGTGTTGATCCTAGGTTATTGGTGGCTTGAAATGTAATCCACAATTTTTTTAAGTTTTAGCTAGAGCCATTTTCAGGATTTCATAATTTCTTACTGAATTATCAGCATCTTATCAGCAAAATTCTAAAAGTTATCAAGCCTACCTATATATAAAAACTAAGAAAATGTTTCTACATATTATAGATTTTATCAACACTTTACCCTTGTAAAGTGTTGATAAAATCAATATGTAGAAATATTTTTTTATTTTCTTAAAAGGGAGGCCATCCAGCTAATTATAGGAATTATCTTTTTCCGGATATTTCCGGAGTTCCGGATATTTTTTTCAATTTTAAGTTTTTCCGGATATCCAAAATATTTTCAATACATGCAAGATGAGGTATATATTTTTGTAATATATTTATTTTTTAAGCTTTTTCACTCATCACTTATAAAAAATTATGAAAAGTAACAAAAAAAAAATTAGAAACAACTTAACTAAAAGCGAAATTAAAAAGAAAATAAGGGAAAACAAGTTCCGAATTTTTTCCGGATGTTTTATCCTAACCATTTTCCGGATTTTTAAAATATGACTAGGATAATCTATGTAATTATATCAACACTTTACCCTTTCTTGTGTATGGTCTCAAAAGGGAGGCCACCCAACTAATTATTATTAGATTAGTCCTTTTATCAGGTCTTTTTATAAACATTAATCATTTTAACCAAAAGATTTTTTACCTTTCATTAAATGGATGTGGTATGATAAGAATATTAAAGTCTTTTAATAAAGTCAAACATGGTGGTCTTTGCCATGAACTCTTTTTGTATTGTGTTATGTGAAAAGTTATCACATGTATTGAATTTTTTTTTCAATTGTGGTATAAGTTGCTTAATTGAGCATACTCTTTATTTTCCAGTAACCTTAGGACTGTGGATGTGGGGTGTCACCAAGTTTCATTTTAAGCTCGCAAGTTATTTCTTATCTTTATGATCTCTCTGTCATACATACAAAGTTTGATAATAAGTATTGTCATAAAATAATCATTGAATACAAAGTATTGAATTCAATAGTTTTGCAAAATTGCAAAATGGGTTAAAAATGCAAAATTAATTATAAAACTAGCTATAAGCATCATTTAGGTACCTTTTTATTTTCCTTTTTTTTATTTTTTATTTTCAGGTACTTTTTATTTTCCAGTAACCTTTGGGTGTGAATGTGAGGTGTCACCAAGTTTCACTTTAAGCTCGCATGTTATTTCTTATCTTTATGATCTCTCTATCAAACATACAAAGTTTGATAATAAGTATTCATAAAATTATAATTGAATACAAATGATGCAGAATTTTATTTAAAACATGTTTTATTGCAATAACATTTTTTCTTAAAAACTATATTTACAAAGATATTGCCAAAAATCTAAATTTTTGGAATTGATTTGGAATTGATCTAAACTTTACAACACATCATTTATAAACATTGTCATTCAACTATGAGTCAATGGCTCTAGAAGATTTATCTGGCCCTTTGGTAGTTCCATCAATTTTCATAAAAATATGCCTTAATAAAGATAGATAACTCATATAGATACAAAATGCAAATATCCCACTGTAATGGAACTCCTAGAAAATTTTCAAATATCTAATGGTGCCACATGAATGACCAGTGTTGACAGGTTCTACCTGTCTTAACTAAGTTCAGTCTTGTTTGAAGCTCTATTCTCTGTAGTGTTTTGAATATTTCATGAGCTATTGATTGATTGTCCTATGAATGGCAAATGCTTATCAATAAACTTTATTTACAAAAACATTGTTTCCTCACAAAATAACCCTGATAAGCCTTAACCGAAAGCAAATAACTTAACCGAAAGCGAATGGAAAAAGTGTTACACATTACACAAACGTTACAAACAATCTTTTAAACATAAAAAATACTCAAAAGAGACTATGCTCCCAAAATATATTTGGCATTTAAAAAAAAAAGTTTTTAATTTTAAATTAAACCGGTCTATCCTAAAACAGAACCTATTGTGTAAATTTATTACTGCTCTGCTTTTTAAGAAAATTGAAATTTTTGTAAATACATTAACATATTTGATATACATATACATATATATATATATATATATATATATATATATATATATATATATATATATATATATATATATATATATATATATATATATATATATATATATATATATATATATATATATATATATATATATATATATATATTGATTTTTTTTTAATCTTAGAATTATTGTTCTCAGCCATGGTGAAATTATTGAGTATGATTCTCCAAAAATTTTATTTCAACAGCAAGGTGAGTTTTACAAAATGATGAAAGATGCTGGTTTGAGCGCAGAGTAATTTTTTTCCACCTGATATAAATTTTTAGTAAGCTACTTTTTTCTCCTTTTTTTTTTATATATATATTATTGTTTTGTGAGAAAAAAGGTTCTAAAAAGTTCGTATTTTGTTTTGTTTGCGTTGACTTCTTTATTTTTAATCGTAATACGATAATAAAATGTGGTGTAACCATGTGATAAAAACCATCACATCTTTTAAAAATTTTGATATTTTTTTTAGACAATTTTTTGAATAGAATATTTTTCATAAAATTTTTAAAAATGTTTTGTGTCAATATTTCAACTGCATTGGTTAGAGACCACCCCCTCAAACGCTTATACGCACAATTGGTATTTGGAATCAATCAGCCTCAACCTCTCAATCCTTTAACGGGGTTTCATTAACTCTCTCTCTGTAATTAATAGTGCCGGGGGTGCTTTCCATGGCCGTGGAAGTAATAGACACTTTTTGTACTATTTCATACATTTCATGATATTTTATTATTTATGACATTATGGATGAGCTTTATACCATCTCGTATTGTAATGCGATAAATTTTATTTTATTACGATATAAGACTATAAAGATTTACTATATTACTATGAAACTGTATTAAAATTTTATATTATGGAAAATAAATTATATAAAGTAATATATTAAAATGATAATATATATTATTGTACAATGTAAAAATAGTAAATTTTAATATATCCCTAATAAAGTTCTATTGTCTTTTTTTTTTCGTGTGTAAATATGTGTATATATATGTAAAGAGAGAAGTTTTCAAAATATTTAAAAAATAAATTTTTTATTTCGTCTTTGTTGGTTGAAAATCGGATTGAAAATGATGAAAAAACGATCAAGATTTGGAATAAAACTCACAAAATACATTTAGTGTATTAATTTTTATATTTTTTAATGTTTTCGAAAATAAGTTGCGTAAATATGGGGCAATAATAAGTTTTCAATACTAATTCTTTTAATTTTCAGATAATTAATAATAAAAGTAATAATAAATTTTAGATAATAAATCAAAAGTAGTATTTAGTTAACTAAGCCTTTGCAGCCACGGAGTAGGGTTTAATGAACTCTTTTAATTTTACAAACCAATTAAGCAGTGTTGTTGATTCTTGGCTTCGAGGCAAAAGATTGGTCATTCATTAATTTTAAGATTTATCTAAGATCAAATATCCTTTATAAAATATCCTTTATATCCTTGGATATTTAATCTTAGATTAAATATCCAAGGATATTTAATCTAAGATTAAATATCCTTGGCAGAAATCTTGAAACTTGACTTAAAAAGGTTGTACAATAGTTTCATTCGTCTGTTTTGCATGTAGAAAGTATTTGAAATAATAATTAAATATAGGTATCATTTTTTTGCAAATTTTAGAAAAAAATTATGTACTTCTGTCACACGTTAGCATTATTAACCCCCCTCAGCAGCCAATAAAATTTCTTAAAAAAATTTGCTAAATTTTAGTCCAAAAGAGTTTTTGTTTAAGGCTTTGCAAAATGAAACATTTGAAAATCAGAAGTTTGGCAATTTATTTTGTCTAGGGATCGTCCATAAATTACGTAACGCAAAATAATGTATGAAAAACAGAAGTAGGAGATAATTAGTTCTTTTACGCGGCAATTTTCATTAAACTTAATGGGCTAATTTGATTTTTTATTTAAATTAAGACTCTTCTAGGGAAAACTTTTGATCTTTTTTGTTTTGTTTATTGTGAAAGTTCGCGTTACGTAATTTATGAACGATCCCCTACTAATATTTTGTGTACTAACAACGTCAGCTTTCCGACAAGTTAAGATACGTTTAGCATATCTTAATTTGTCATTGTTTGAAACATATAGTTTGTATTTTGTGTTACTAGCTACTTCAGCTATCGTTGAGCGTATCTAAACTCGTTACTTGAAACCTCGGTTGAGGGGTTCGGGAGGAAGATTTAAATAAATATGTTTTGTTTATATTGCTATATAATTAAGTTTTCTCAAAAAAAACTTTTTTAAAAAAATTAAGTTAAACTTTCTTATTTCAGGAAAGCATGGTTTTATAACAAAGTAATTCTAAGATAGCGGCAAAATTGTATTTTTCGAAAGTTTGTCACAATGAGTACAAAGCTCAAAAACCGAAACTGCAGAAAAAATAGCCATAATCACCCTTGAATATATTTGCAACTTCATTTCCTATTTTTTAGATTAACATCACAATCTCGGTGGCTGCATAAGCGCGAATTGGCATATGTGCGAACTGGCATAAGTGCGAAGCGTTGCAAAAACTCGAACTGGCATATGTGCGAATTGGCAAAAGTGCGTCAAAACATCTTGCAAACATTGGTATAAGTGCGAATTGGCATAAGTGCGAACTGGCATAATTGCGAAGCAGTTGCAAAAACTGGCACAAATGTGAACTGGCATAAGTGTAAATTGGCATAAGTGCGCCGAATAGAATTTCAAATATTGGCATAAGTGCAAATTAGTATTTCGCACTTATGCCAGTTCGCACTTATGCCAATGTTTGCAAATTTATTTGACGTATTTATGCCAATTCGCAGTTATGCCAGTTCGTACTTGTGCCAGTTTTTGTAACTGATTCGCACTTATGAAATTCGCGCTTATTCAGTCGTCCCCACAATCTACCTGACGTTAATAGTATCACATATTTCCAGACGCAATGGAAATATGGGATACTATTATCGCCCATAAATTACGCAACGCAAAACATATTTAAAAAATTTAAGTAGAAGATCATTTTGCTCTTTTGCGCGGCGACTTTAAAGGTTGTTTATATACTTGACTCTGCGTGGGAAAACTTTTAGTTCTTCGTTACGTAATTTACGAACGATCCCTAACTATCATCAACGTAGCAGCACACGTAGGATGCTTTACAGTATTATATATATATATATATATATATATATATATATATATATATATATATATATATATATATATATATATATATATATACCTTAAGGTGAGATACCCCATTGAATAAAAACACTATCTATTTTAGTTCAAAGTTTGAAATTTCTTTCAAAATTTTAAAAAACATTTGATAACAAATTTATTCAAAACAAACATTTGTTTTGAATAACAAACTATGTACCGTAAACCGGGGTAACTTTGTACCAATTTTGATGAAGAAGATAACTTTAAAAAAAAAAAGGAACATTTTCCCAAAACTATTTTGATGCTCAAAGTTGTGCATTACTAATGTCATTTAATTAGTAAAATGGTGTATTTATTGTATTAACCAAATCCAAGATTTTATGAAAATAATGAGGTGGTCAATGTTACTCGGCAATGGGGTAACTTTGACATAGTAAATTGTTTTTTAGCACCGGATGTAAATGAAGTGTTATTAACAAGATTTAATGTAATTTAAACTTACAGTTCGCAATTATTTTAAAAAGGGGTACTTAAAATTTGTCAAGAAATTAAAAAAGGGACAATAAAAACAAATATAAACAGTATTAAAGAAACATATTAGATAAAATAATTTGATTTTCTTTTATTATTTTTAAACCAAATGATTAAAAAAAGAGAGTACTAAAGAATAAACAAACAATTTGTAACATAAACTCTGTTTTTTTTTTTAAATTTAGACATCTCTTCAGTAGTTTATCATAAATTCAATAGAGACTGATTCACCTTCAGATGCTGTTTCTGTTTCACTATCGTATTCTACAGAAATAGATTTTCCTGGTTCAATTTCAAGTCTTTTTTTGGATATATATTTTTTTTGTTCATTTTTACTTTGTGTAACATCTTTCTTATCACCACCTTCATTTTTTTTCTCATTTAATATGTCTAAAAGGCTCTGGTCTAAAGCTTTACAAGGACTTAAGACGTTTTCACTTGGTAATTTGATATACACAGCATTAGGATTAAACGACACCAAACCACAAACTTTAAAACCACTTATTAATTTTTTTCTCGAGCATGTATTAATGGATGTCATTGAAATAATTCAGCAACTTAGAGAAATTTTCTTTTGGTAACATTGCAAATTTTTTACCACGTGAAGTAAGTTTCCAATTCAGAAGTATAGTTCTCCATGCTTTTTTTAATGGTGCAAAGAATGCAACATCAAGAGGTTGAAGCAAGTGGGTTGAATTAGGCAGAAGGCATATGAATCTAATGCTATGTTTTTCACAAGAATGAATAACTTTATGACTTAAATGGGAAGAGAGATTGTCACCTATTAATACTTTTTTCCCAGTTTATTTCTTAATGCATGGCAATAATGTTCTAAAAAACCAATCCTCAAAAGTAACTTCATCAAACCAGCCAGATTGGGTTCTATTAAAACGAGAATTTTTGGGACCGTGTTTTATCCATAAATTGTATAAATGTGTGCTTTTAAAAACTGTGTATGGTGGAAGAATTTCTCTAACACCATTTCCACAAAACATTACAGAGAAACAAGCCTTACTGCTATTCATTATTATCTCAGGGTACTTAGTTCCACATTTCATTACAACTTTTTTATTTCCAGGATCATCATGTAAATTTGTTACATCATAATTCCAAATGTTACACGGTGGAATCCCTTCAAGCTTAAGTCTAATATTGTTAAAATAAATTTTTAATTGTTCTTTGTTTATAGCTGCACATTTTCTTTTAATATTTGATGCAATTCTATGGGTTAACTGTGAACGTTTCATAAAACTTGAAACCCAATCATCACCAGGAAGATTGTTTTTAAATATTTTTACAGTACGTTTTTGCGATTTTAAATAACCAGCTACTAACATTTTAACATCAAGTTTATTTTATGGAAATCCCCAATCGCACATAACTTTGATTCTAGATGAAAAAAACTGCTCCTCATCATGAGTAAATATGGTTGGTGCACCAATGCATTTTTTATGCTTTGACTTCATCTTATTCTTGGTATAATAAACCTTTTTGAGGCTTGACGAATAGACATAGTTATATTTACGAGGCATTATGCTTTAAACAAAAGTAAATATAAACAACACAAGCAAACTGCAATGTAGTAATTTATTAAACTATTATATAATTTTATTAAACTGCAATATTGATTTAGCAACAACAAAAACAAATAGTTTAACAAGAAAATAAGAAAATATACTTTTTTTTAAATCCAAAATACATTCATGCAAAATCTGTTTTTCAAAAAAAATTATTTGGATAACATGCTTCAAAATAATATTTTAGTTATAATAAATAACGATCAGACTACTTTAAAATTAATATTATTTACTTGGCCAAAATTACTCCAAAAGAGTAAAAACCTACGGGGTAACTTTGACCACCCAGTAAGAAAAACCAGAATGTTGTTACTTGAGCCAAAAACTTTTTGCTTAATTTTATCTGAACGTTTGTCTTTAAAAAAGAAGAAAAACTGAGTTGCTTGCTATCATTTTTATCTTCGCCCAGACAACATTCTGTTTTACAGTTTTTGATTGTGTTTGACCAAGATATAGTTTTCATTCTTTTTTACTTATAGTAAAGAGCATTTGCAACAAACTTCAGATCAAAATTTAAGCAAGATAGATTGCATTTACAAATAAAACAAAAATAGTAAAACGTTACTTAACTGTTTAAAAGTTAGAGTTGTTTAATTAAAATTTTTAAAAATGGCCAAAGTTACCCCGCTGGCCAAAGTAACCCCGGTTTACGGTATAGCATTTTTTGAGTGTCTAAAAATAAAAAAAGTTTTATAAAAATAAAAAAAGTTTTA